AGGGATTAAGGGTAGCAGTTGGCAGCAGACAGCTGAAAGTTGGGTCGTCTTCAGCCAACGAAGGAAGATTCTCCAAAGCTTGTCTGTTAGCACCTTGAAGAAGCCCCCGACTTAAATCCATAGTGACTGAGAAAAGGGCAAAAGAGACTGTGTGTGCATACAGTCATGTGGAAACATATTTAGATGTCGGTTCAGGTATCTAAATAACGCTGTGAACGGAGTCTTGGTGTTTTGTTCTAAGTGAGGCAGAACCGCTCGGCACGGCCTGGATGCTGAGCTTGGCTCTCCCAAGCCCCAGCCCACCATTTCAATCACAGGGCTATTAGTCTTTCTGAGTATGGATTTGTCTATCCCCTATGTCTTTTCCATCATCTCTAAACTTGAGTGACTCCTATGACTAATGTGATTGTAAGTCATAAAACATTAAGTTATGACACAATCAAATCAAAGCCAAGAAATTCATAGTTAGGGTGTAGGCTACATTCTTAACTCAAAACCAGAAAAGCAGCATTACAGGATAAACAAAAGGATGAAGTGTCAGCCCTCATTTTTCATTTTTGGACTCTTATCAGTTTGTATCAATTTAAGCCTTTTTTAAATATGTAATTTCTTTGACTTACTTTTTCCCTCTAGGAACTGAAAATTATTCTGCTTTGAGGTCTGGAACCTGCCATAAAATAAACACTACTTAATTGGGACATGCTTAATAGGGATGGCCACTTTAATGGGACATCTCCTAGGGAACCTATTTATGTTAATGAGACTGAATGACAATGGCTGTTTCTTAAGTGGGGCAACAAAAGGAAAGGAACTCCACTTCACAGGGATGCACTCAACTGTTACCAGATTGTTAAGTGTTCAACCAGGTGTTAAATAGGTACCAAATTCTGAGCTTCCATATTTTAATTCAAAAAGGAGAAATTAAAATCTATCTCATGATGACGAAAGGTGGTGTTATTTGTGTAGTGCATTTAGGACAAAGAAGGGGCCAGGCTGTTCTCAGCTGTGCCAGAGATGGAGGTTCTCTTCACCAAAGAGCTGAAATAACTCTTCTCTGAGCGTGGAACTACCTGTAGATTGAATTTGTTCAGATTCATTCCAACGGCTAGAAATAGCCCCATCTATCCTAATTCTCAGCCTTACATTTTACCCCCTCCTCTCAAATCCTTCCACTTCTGTATTTAGGACAGTAAGATGGAAGCAATAAAATACAAATAGAAAAGCTTTTAAAACCTGAGTGATCCTTTCTCAGTCTTAAAACCCCCTAAGAAATGATGTCTGAAGACTTCCAGAAGCTTCCAGAAGCCTGTAAGCCATTTGGAAGGTTATTCCCCTCATAAAGATCCTTCATGTTCTGTGGTTTCCACTGAAGATGTGTACACTTGTTTTAGGGATGAACAGGAGACCGTGCTAAGAAGTTGTCTTAAAAACAAAAATCCCATCTTAGATGGCAGCAATATGAATCTGGGGACTCTCCCATGCAAACCAAGACATCTGATTATGCCATTGTATCCTGTTTGGCAAAAGAGAGAGTGAAGGAAAGTGATAGACATGAGGGGCAGATGGAGTTTGCCTAATGTGTCTGTTCTTTTCTTCGCTGCCTTTTCAATTTAAGAATGTAGCAAAATAGCAGCTGCTCATAATTTCATGAATCAAGAAGTATGTAAATTTCAGCTACAAAATTTGTTGCATAGTTAGACACACACACAAAAAGAAGGGGAAAAAAAAAAAAGGAAAAAAAAATCTTGCTTGCATCTACAACTTTCTTAATCTCGCATGCAAATTTAGCTTTCAGGCCTGGTTCTCCTCTTGTCCCAACCAAGGGCAGTTCAATTAGTTTTGTTACTGTCACAGATGGCAAACACTGGGATAATCCTGCTGTAAGGATGCCGCTGGTCCCTGCTTCTTGCCCTGACCCTTGCCTGGAAGGGTGAGCCCAGATCCTTCCATGCCCCTGAACCAAGAGGGGTTTGTGCCTCTGCTTCCAAGCTGCAGGTGGAGATGAGGGATGGGATGGGAATGGCTCCGCAATGGGAATAGGAATGGGAATGGGAATGGGAATGGGAATGGGAATGGGAATGGGAATGGGAATGGGAGCGGCTGGTGATGGGAATGGCTCCACAGAAGCCATGGTGATGAACAGCTCTACCTGAGGATGCTGACGGCCTCTTCGGTTGAGACGGAACTCATGCGCCTTGTATTTCAATCCTTAGCAGCCTCCGAATGAAAGGATGGAAAAAGTGACTTGAAATGTATCATCCAAATGTACGAAAGAAAGAGCTGGGGATCAGGGCCTCCATATACTATACAGCTGGTTCTAGTTTTCAGACAAGATTTACTAAACACATGTAAACCGTGCATATCTGTTTGAATACTTTTTGTGCAAATAACTTCCTCTGTGGTCAAGCTGTTCCTTTCAGATCCAGGCTGCAGATCTGTGCTTTCTACTCACTGCTTTTTTACCCTTGGATTTCCACCAGTATCAGTTCACACTCAGAGTACGAAACTGTGAAGAGCAGAGCTGAGTTTGGCAGCACGAGTCGGGAGAATTTACAACGCGAAACTCAGAGCAAACTCATGATAAAGGGCAGAAATCAGAGCTGGCTGAGCTCCATCCCAGTCAGTGGGCCAGATCCTGAGCAGCTATAAACAGACACAGCGCTGCGTATTTCATAGCAACTGCAGCACTCGTGTCGTTCAGCCCGACAGCCTCTTGCACGGAGGCAGAGTTTGACCGATTCTGGTGGGGTTCCTCCTGATTTATACCCCCGAGCGAGCAAGCAGAGCGCTGGTCTGTCCTCACCAATTAAAGCCGCCCCACAATTACGTCTGCTGAGTGTCACAGATTCAAACTTTAAACACAAAGCAACAGCCGAAGCTGGATATAAAGAAGCGGGAGGGCAGAGTTTTATGATCAATGTTTTATTGGAATCATATAAAAAAGCATTTCACATATTTCACGGAGGCATTTTATGTGCAAATTTAATATAAATCCTTTTCTTGTTAAACTCGTAGGCGATCTGTGCCTTTCGGTATGTAAAGCAACGTATAGGACAACTACGAACAAGTTTATTAAGGCAGCTCGGGTTCCTGTTGACATCACCAACCACACAAGTGCTTGCTCAGGGTTGGTGCGATCTTATCGGCCTCTCCTTACATTTCAGGTTACCTACTTGTTCGTTTTCCCAATATATCTTTCATTGCTACAAGAATTCAACTCATGGGCAGATCTCTAAGATAAATCTACTTGTCTGCTTTGGGAATATGGCTCTAGTTCTAATTTTGCAGACTTCGTTCAGGCAATACTCCCTTTGACTTCAGGGATTTTTGCCTGAGTAATCCTTTCAGAATTGGACTCTCCATGATTTTCATTTACTTAACAACTTGGCATTACATCTGTAAAATATTAGCCCAGTAATGTGAAATATCAAATTAGATTTATGTATTAATCTAATCTATATATGAAGCTTGATAGTCAGCCCTGTTACACCGCGTTATTGCAATTCCAGCCATTCTATGTCGCTTCAGATTTGCACTGATGCTGCAAGAGAAATAGAAATGAGGGGGGGGGGGGGCGATTATAGATGAAATTCAGCAGCTCACGTGGCATCAAATCACAGCACACCCTGAGCTGGAAGACACCCACCAGCACCATCGAGGCCAACTCCTGGCTCATAGGACTATCTAGAAGAAAATCATACGTCTCAGAAAGTCCAACATTTTGTTGAAAATTTTCTAAAAATTTTAATTTCCAGAGGAAGCAGACAAACAATTTTCTATCAGTCACACGCGGAAAGCAGACAAAAACGCTAATTAGAACCAATCAGCCAAACAATGAGATATTTAAAAAGAATAAAAGGTCACAATAAATATCTGGAGCGCAATGCATTCTCTAGAAATCCTTGATAAAGACAAATCAGCAGTTATTTCTTTTCTGTGTGACAGCTGAGGCCCGAAAAGTTAAAAAAAAAATAAAAATGACTCTTTCATACATGTTGATGAACTGCATTTATAAACACTTCACGTGATGAAATGATACGTGTTTCCTCCCGGCTGGCTGCCCTCAAACATTCTTCTCCTTGCAGTTTTTAAATGTTTTAATATAATCCTTCCATGAAAACAGGAGCCAGCAGCCGGCCCCACACAGCAGCACATTTAGGAACGCGTTAAAGTAAAGTTTTGTGTGAGCTTGGGTACTATTAAAAACTGGAGACTTGGAGACAGCCCACCAGTACACTGTTCTGATCCCTTAAACTATTTACCTCTTCTCTTTATGAATGGTTTCAATTTGTTTTACTTTTGTTGGGCCAAATCCAGCTGGTTATTTACAGAAAGAACACAACAAGATGCATTGGCCATGGACTGCAACTAGCCTACCCCATAGAAACGCATAGCAATCCCATGGGCTCCATGGAACTCCTCTGGATTCACATCAGGCCTCCATTCAGGATCAGGCCAAGCAGTGCAAGTAAGGGCCAGAGCATACATGTGGAGAGCTGTGACCTGAATGAGACTGGATCTATTTATTTAAAAGCAGAGGGTAATTTTAAACTATTTTTACTTTTTCTTTCTTTTTTATTCCTTTTTGGTAATCCATCACCACCCAAACACCAAATAGGAAGTGAAGCAGTGCCGAGGGAAAAACAATCAATTTCTTTTCTACATGTTACAGAACAAATACAATTCTGATCTGCTGTCTTGAGCACGTGGGTTCATTTTCAGGTGCACCGTTACCCCTGAGGGATATTCACCTTCCAAACATGGCCTTCCCACAGCACACGGGCACAGGTCTGATGCTGCGTTGCATCTCCTTTCACTTGGCTGAGTCTCATATGAGTGAGAGCAGCACAAAAACCTAAGCAGCAGCTCTGTGCTGAGACAGGAACCCCATGCACTCCCCTCAAGGAGGTTCTCCACAGCAAAATATTTACTGCACTGTGCCAGCGTATGATGAACGCTGGCAGGGTCTCTATTTCCTCCCTTTCTGCATTCACCCAAAGTTACTGCTTCTCCTACCCCAGCGTTTGGATCCAACAGCCCCAAACAAGCTCGTGTCTGCAGCAAATCACGGTTGTTCCGAGCAAGTCACCGCCGTGTTTCTAAGAAAAGATGCGCTTCCCCAAATGAAATCACACACGTTATTTGAAGAGAAACCACCTCAACCATCCTAAACATCCTGTGCTGCCACGAACGCAGCTCCCAGCGGGCGCTGCGGGGTTTTGTTTCGCACCGGATGAGGCTGTCTGCCTGTCTGCCTCGCTATCCGCCCATCTCCGCACACACCTGTCTCTCTGGCCCCGCACAACCGTCTGCCTCCCGTCTCCCATTGCTGCGTGTTGCAACAAGGCCTGGTGTGGCTGCCCCTCCCTGAGCACCGCGAGGCTGAGCCAGCAGCGCCAGACCCGGTGCCACCCCTGGGCCATGCTCGGCAGGGTGAGCAGCAGGATGGGGAGGCAGTGCCCGGCTGGGGGGGAGCGCGGGGACCTGCCCTTCTTCCCAGTGGGAGAGGGAGCTGCCACGATTGGAAAGTGCAAGAACAACCTTTCTTCTCTCTTCTTTTCCAAGATAGCATCGGCTGTATACTTACCTGCTTTATGGGCCCGATCTGGAAATGAATGAAAGGGAAACTGGTGGGGGAGGGAGCGCCCTCTGAGCTGCCTCAGGTACGCATCTCTCCATCGCCTGCTTGCAGCTTCCCTCTTCTGACCTCGCAGCCACCACGAGATCTGTATCTCCTGATGACCACAGGTGTTTCACAGAACGGAGAAACTGAGGGGATATTCAGTGAATGTCACGAAGAAAGCGGTGACAGCGGCTGAGCGCAGCTCCCAGCCCCAGCACTAAACCAGCACTCCCACCATGGGGAAATGGCGCAGAGTAAGGAGCATCATCAGCACAGCTCAGAAAGCAGGACGGGATTTTGTTTATTGGTTTCAGATGTTTAATTTTAAGTAATATGGAAAATACTGACGATCCACAAGAGGAGAAACAAGAGTTGAGGAGCAGCAAGGGTTGAGGAGAAGCAAGGGTTGAATAATATAGAAAAAGATGTGCAAAAAAATCAAAGAAACCGGGAAGGAGTAAAAAATAAGTGCAAAGTTCCAGGAGTGGGGAAAAAAAGGTGGGAATTTTGCCCACCCAGAAGAGGCACCTGCAGGCTCACCCCAGCAGAATGCTGCCTCGGATATCACCCTGCGCACGGGGTGAAGCTCAACCAGGCAAGGGTAATGCCTACAATTAAAGCCAGAACAAACCACATGCTTATTGGATTCAGCGTGAAACTGTTCTTCACTGCCAGCTGCAGGGAGTAGATGATCTGATAGGTCCTTTTCTTCTCTAATTCTCTTGATTGCCTATGGGTATTGTTATTGCTTATGTTGGCCAAAACCTGACCATGTATCTGGATAGAGTGTACTGTAAGAGAGGCAGTTATTTGACAGGAATACTGCAAATGTGTCCAGTTTGTGAAGGCAGATTCCATTCACTGTGCACACCGATGTCATTTGTTCTTTCGGGGTCTTCAGTAACTTCTACCACACATGGCAAAGAATACCACTACAATGTCATCACATGCCTTTGTTGGTGTGGGTTAATCCACAAATTCTCAGTGAAGATCTGTTGTGGGTTATGCTGGATGCTTATGGATGTCTTCAGAGCTAATGAGCAAGCAACCACACTGCCCAAATTTGCTTCGCTTTTAATTGTGGCCGTTTTCCCTGCCCTCTGTAAAGAACTGCTTTCTTCTCTTCCACCTACCTATGCCTCTGTACTACTCAAAGGATTTCATGCTTAGATTACGTGTGCTACCATGTACATGATTTAAGGTAAAACTTCCCCTTAGTACCAAACAATATGGGAACCCCCACCGTGATTCCAAGCATCCTGGATGAGAAAAGGAGCCCAGCCAGGAGAGAGTGCTGCCTGCCACTGCCCTCGGCTGGGCACCCAGGGAAGGCTGTAGTGCCCTCCTCCTTCCATCTCTCTGCAGCTCAGGGGGTTCCTGAGCCTGCACAGATCACCACTGCTGGCCAAATTTTCTGCAATTTATGTGCTGCAAAACCTCCGGCTGCTACAGGATATAAATCAGTGGAGTCATTGACAATAATTGGAAAAAAAAATCCGTGATGTTAAAGGCATAATATGAATCTTGATCTTAATCTGGGCTAAATCTCCAGCAACATAAATTACCTGTCTGCTTGGCTAGCTCTGTTCTCTGCGGTCCCTATGGAGTCTGACTATGTAATGGGCACGGTGTAACACGATAGATGGAACAAGGCTTTCTGTGCTCTCAAATCCAGCTGAAGAGTGGCAGAATGATGTGTTCAGATGAGTTCCTCTCTCCTTTTCAGGTACTGGACAATTACACATGAAGCACAACAAGTCCAGTTGCCACTGATGGTCTAATGCAAGTGGCAGAGCAACTGTGCTAGTTAAATCTCTGTATTAGTGACATCTTACAGCACAGTGGCATTAGTAAGAAATGAATTTTAATTAAATACTTGTACCTAAAATCACAGAATCACAGAATGGTTTGAGTTGGAAGGGACCCCCAGAAGCCATCTGGTCCCACTGCCTGCAGAGCACAGGGACACCCACAGCTCCATCAGTGCTCACAGCCCTCCAGCCCGACCCTGGGGGTCTGCAGGGATGGGCGCCACCACTCTGAGCAGCCTGTGCAGTGCCTTTCCACTCTAATGGTAAAAAAACCTTCCTTATATCCAATGTCAATTTCCCTCTGTAGATTGGTAAGGGTGTCTGGAAGGACAAAGAAATCTGTGTAACACATCTACAACTTCAGTGTTGCAGTTGTCATCATTTTAGATTTAAACTTCAAGTGCACAGTGCTTACTTTTGCAACACTCTGTTAATGCGCGTTGAGAGAAGTTAGCATTTACACAGATCAGATCTAACCTTAAGGAAGCCTGCCTCAAACGAGCACACAGAGCTGATTTCTGAAAACATCATAATCCGAGGAAACTTTATCCCCGCCGGCTGCTTGCCGGGGCGCGCCGACAGCCCGGCTCCTTCCTCCCTCTCGGCCAGGTACGATCCAGCAGAAGCGCGGCGCAGATCAGCTCCGCAGAGCTCTGTGCCCTGCAGGACGGCGAGGAATGCAGCGCTTCCAGAAAGCAGAGCTGTCAGGAGAGACCTCCTTGGTGAGCGGCAGGCACGCACTGATCCTGCACTGCAGCCACCAGGAGCAGTGGGGGCCCAGCAGCTGCCTGCCGGCCCACAGCTCCCAGCGCGTCCTCAGTTCGGCCACACCGTGCGCTCCTCTTCACCACCGCGCAGCTGAAACAGGTCGGGATCCGGCACAGAGCTGCTCTGTCAGATTGGCAATAAGGCGACAAGATGGAAAAAAAAAAAAAGAAAAAAAAAGAAAGGCTGCAATAATGTTAAAAATATCGTAAAATGTTATTTATACCAGGATACATTTGTTACCCCATGTGACAATCATTCATTTTTCTTGACAGATATAAACCTCTGCTTAACACATTAGTATCATAAATATTATCAGATATAACGCTGTAATTTAATACCTACCAAATGCATTTTAAAATATTACTCAATTTAAAACTTTGGATTTTAACCAGATGTGTTTCCAGAAAATGATTCGGGTCAGATGCTTTTTTCTTTCCCTTTCTCTGTGCGTGCGCGTTCAAAGCGGAGCATTGCTCTGTGATTTATTGCACCACGACTGCGTGCCCCCAACCCACAGCAGCACCGCGATGCTTCATCCTTGAGGCACACACACCTGCAGTCCAAACTAACAAGAGAAAACATCTACATGGCACGGCAGGAGCCTTTGAAATGTCTCTTTGCAGTTGCCTGGACACAGAACAGACTGGTAGAACGGGGAGGCAGCGGAGAAAGGGTGAAGGCAGCAACTCTGGCCTCTTTCATCTAGAAAGGGGGGACCATGGAGAGATTAGAGGAGAGGATTTTGATTAGATCACTGGAATGTGAAATGATGCTTCCCAGGATTAAAATCCTATTTTAGTGCTACCAAACTGGTTACGTCGTTAGCCGGGCTCCGGAGGGCTGCACAGCTCCGTCCTTGCAGACATCCATCAGGCTGTGCCACGGGGCCCCCGAGCCTCTGTGCCCCCCACACCACAGAACCCAGCCATTGAGGAGCCAGCAGCCCTACAAGCTCAGGGCTTCGGGGTTCCCTCTCCGGGCATCAGCCGCACGTGCCTGGTGCTGCCGGCTGCGAGCTCAGCGGGCGCAGGCCTGGCGCGTCCCCACCCAGTGCCATTGGTCACAGCCACGACGCGGCCAGCCAACAATTTGAAGGTCTGTAGTTGCCGGGTTGATCATTACGTGCGACTCATTAACATAAAACCCGCCATCGCGATTAGTATCTTTGTGAGCAGCAGCCTCGGCAAAAAGTGGAAATGGAGGCAGAAACGGCGGTGCTGCTCCAAAGGACGGCGTTGGGAAACCAGCAGCAGCGACTGCTCTGCGCTGTCTGCAACTTCTCCAGTGACACAGAGCCATTTTCCAGCCGTCCGTCCACCGACTGGAGCGAGCACCACATCCACTTGATGATCAGATCCAATTTGAGGAAAAATCTACGCTCACTCACCCAGAGGAAGACGTGTTTATTTTCCCCTTGTGTACAAAGTGCACAACAGTGTTGGGAGCACAGAGTGGGGCTGACCTGGGGCAGGGGGTGGGAAGCACAATGTAGGTGACGGAGAGTATAGGGCAAGGGATAGGAGCACAGAGTAGGGGATGGGAGCACCGGGCAGAGGACGGGAGCCCCTATAGGGGATGGCAGCACACTATAGGGGACTGTAGCACCGTGAAGGGCTGTCCTGGGGGGACAGGTACAGCTCTGCTGGTTCCTTGCCAGGAAATGGGGTTCTGGGGGCTGCTGTATTTGCAGGCTGTGCACGCAGTTTGATTTGGGGAACAGATGTGCCTGGCAAAGCGCTCCGTGCTTTTCAGGAAAGGAGCAAAGAAAATGTTTGTATTTGTAGGACACGTTATCTTTCAGCACCAAATAACTTCTCTCACCTTTTTAAATCCCCTTTTCTATGGATATGCCGCATTTCCCGGCCCTCCCCGAGCAGCGCTCTGCGGCAGCGACCCCCGAGAGCCCACATTTCCCCGACTCCCCTTCCAGCACAGATCCTTGTCCCCCCCCCCAACTCCCCCAGGACGCCACGAACCAGACACCCCAGGCACTTTCCCATCGCCGTTTCCCTTCGATTCTCCCCTCTCACACTGCACACCGCGCTGTGGGGCGGCAGCACGGGCCGCTCTGCGCCGTGCTCCCCCCCTTGTCCCCACAGCCCGGGTTCGGCCCCCGCGGGCGCTGCGGGGGGGGGACACACACCGGGAGCGCTCCGGAGCGCCGCCCCCCCCCTCACCCCCCCGCCCCGCGCTGACTCCGCGTTCCGGGCGGCGCGGGCTCCAGGCCGGGATTTGGGCGCTCCCCGCCGCCGCCCTCCCCTCGCCCCCCCGCCCCTCCTCCCCCCTCCCTCTCTCCCTCCCTCCCCCTCCCTCCCGGCTCCGAACTCCAGCCCCTCTCTCTCTCTCTATCAGCCGCTCACTCTGTCTCAATATGTCTCAAGATGGCGGCCAATGTGGGATCGATGTTTCAATATTGGAAGCGCTTTGATTTACAGCAGCTGCAGGTCAGGCTCCCCCGCTCGCCGCACCGGCCGGGCCGCGCCGCCGGACCCCCCCCCCCCCTCCCCTTCTCCGCCTTCCCTCGGGCCCGGCCTCCCCCCCTCCTCCTCCCGCTGCCGGCCCCGCCGCCTGCAGGGAACCCCCGCTCCGCCCGGCCGCGCCGCGCCGCTCCCTCCGCCCCCCCCGCACCGATCGGCGCCCCCATCGGACATCGATCCCCTTTGTTCAATTCATCGATCGGCCCAAGATGGCGCCGGAGCCGGCTGTGCCGTGCCGGGGCCGCCGCCGCTTCGCCCCGCTCCGTCCCGGGGCTGCGCTCCGCCGCTCCCCGCGGCCGAACCGCGCGGGGCCGCGCGCTGCCACCGCTCCGAGCGTTCCGCTTCCCCCCCCACCCCGTCGTCCTCCTCCTCCTCCTCCTCTTCCTCCGTCCCTCCTGCGGTGGCCGGGGAAAGTTTCCCGAGTGCCGGGACTTTGTGTGCGCGGGGGCGCGGGGCGGCGGGGGCCGGGGGGGCGCTCTAACGCCGGACGCGTCCGCGGCGCCGCGGGCGGCCCCGGGGTGCCGGCACCGGGCGGGGGGGGAACCGCCGAGCGGCGCCGGGAGGGGGGCGGCACTGGGGGCGGCGCGGGGCGCTCCGGCGGAAGCGCGGAGCGCGGCGGGGACCGAGCGGCGGCCGCGGCCCCGCGGGAATCGGGGGACGGCGGCACCGGGGCCCTCAGGTGCGGCGGGAGGGAGCGCCGTCCCGTTCCGCCGCCGTATTGTTTCTGCGGAGGCTGCGCGGAGAGGCGGACTTGGCCGAACTTTCCCCGCTCGGAAGGGCGCTCGGCGGTACCGAGCGGAGCGGGGAGAGCGAGAGGCGGATGTGGAGCGGGATGAAAGAGAAGGGGTTGCGTCGGGATGCGTTTCAGCTGGGGCTGCCGGTCCGCGCGGCGGAGTTGTGCCGGCTTGGCGCGGGGACGGAAACGCCGCGCGGGACCCGAAGGGCAGCGTTACACGGGCGGTCGGGGCTGGGGCTTTGCCGGGCGGTGTGTGACCGAACCCCGCGGTGATGGACCGTTCTGTTCTGTTTTGAGTAAAGGAAGAAAAAAAAAAAAAGCTGGCTTTTATCGGGGTTTAATTTCTGTGCGCGCTGTAAGACCTGTTGTGGAGCGTCGCGCTGTGACGCCGGGTGACGCCAGCGTTGGGCTCTCGGCTGCCCGCGTTGCGGCCCTGCGCGGCCAGCAGCGCACGGAGCCCCGCAGTGAGCACAGAGCGCCTGTCATCCCCACGCAGAGCAGTTAATTTGTCGCAAATTAGCCTTTATTTTTCTTTAATTATCCGCCCGTCCGCTCACGGAGGCAACGCGGTGTTTCCTCCCGCTTGCAGGTGAAGCCATGCGCTAGGAATGCTGTCGTGCAGTGTGAGGTTCGGTCTCACAGGGCTGTGTGTGCCCCCCGTTCATTTACAGTTATGCATTTCAAGGGCGGCGACAGAAAGCTGGAGCTGCTTTCCCTGTGATCTCTGCCCTGCTCCGGGCAGGGTCGCACAGTGCAGAAGTTGGGTTAAGGATCAGGCTGTGGGATGAGAGGGGTGCAGAGTGGCAGCTTCCTATAAGTGTCAGATGCGGCTCTTCCTTTCAGAACATCCCTAAAGCGTGTGTAGCCCTGGGTAGGGCTTGTAGGGGTCAGATTTATTTCCTAAAGAGGCAATGAAATTAGCATGACATCACTTCAGCGTGAGTTTGCCACGTGGTGAAAGAAGGACCCACGTCGGGTAAGGTGTGCGTGGAGAGAAGGAGCCCTCGCTCAGGGTGATGGTGGTGGGAGATGTGAATCCCATCCCCGGAGCAGCGCTGCCGTCCTCAGCTCCTGCATCTGCTGCTGGGAGGCACCGCCATGGCTCCTGCAGCTCCGTGGCTGTGGGTCTGGTGCTGCTTACAACACCTTCCCACAAACACCCCTCTGCTGGTCAGCAGGGAAACCGGCGCTGTGCTGCCAGGGCGATGGGGCAGCGTGGGTCCCACACCACTGACTGTCTGTCAGTCTGTCTGTCTGTATGTTGGAGGAATGCAGCAGTTCCAGCTGCATCTCCACGGCTAGTGTGGCTCAGCCTGACCTTCAGCCCTGAGCTGAGTCCATGCGATGGCTGTAGGGTTGGAACTGCTTGATGGAAACCGAAGGAACGCGGTGTTGAGGTGCTCAGAAAATAAACACGAGTCCCAAAGTCTCATGGCCGCTTTTTGGGTAGGAGTGCAGTAAGTGGCTGCTGGAGAGCAGGGCAGCATGGCTGGCTGTGACTGAACTGCAGGGCTGGAATCTCAACCCGGCTCTCGCTTGTTGTGCTTTTCTGTATTCGTTTTTGCAAATCTCATCCTTCTTATTGCATCATGTCTAATCAATGTCAGGGTGGGGTATCAGTTCCCACTCCGCTGTGACTAATTGTTGTAAGTAAACCATTGATCTTTCTGTAACGTTACAAAATTTGCACCAAGTCTGGAAAAAAGAAGTAGCAGTGAGTAGCGCTTAAATACTGAAGCTATTCAATTATTTAATTAGAAACAGGTGGAGCTCTTGGCATCCATTCCTGGATCCGATCGCAGCAGAGCAGGGGCTGATTTGCTTTAAGTGAAGGAGTTAACGTGCTTCATCACAAGTGGAATTAGCGGCTCTGCGTTAATTTCATTTGCCCGTACGGCTCTCTATAGAACTTTTAGTTTCTGTTCTAACAGCAGCTGTGTTTCGGGCTGGGTGCTCTCACACCGTGCTTGTGGCCAGCTGGATTCTGAGCGGAGAAACGCGGTGCTGTTGGTGTGGAGTATGGCAAGGGCTGGGGAGTTTTGGGAACAGATTGCGTCTGCATGTAACAGCAGCAAAAACGTGATGGGCAAAGCGTCCAAAATGCCACTGAACAATAATTTGTTATTTGCAAGCTGATTTGTAATGCAAAAGATGGATGGAGGAAGGTGCGTGATCCCAAGTTTCAATTTGATCATCCCGAGCTGGAAATGAAGGCTCAGGAGGTCTGTATGTGTGTGCTGGTGCTCCGGGTGCAGGCAGCAGCTCCTTGGCGTGGGGCCTCCGGGCGCAGTGTGTGCTGTGTTCCCATGCCCCCAGCCTACAGCCCGGCTTCTGTTCCATGTGCTCTGCGTTCTGCTCCTCATTTCTCCCTGTGCCGGATGGTTTCCCGTGTGCAGAGCACTGAGGTGTTGATGTGTGCTGGGATTTCAATGCAGCGTGGTGCTCCTACATGGCACGGGGCGCGGAGCTGGCAGGGAGGCAGCAGGAATGGCTGCAGAAGGCATTGTGCCCGTAATGG